TTAACGAACCATTTCAAAGTTCATACACAGGATGTCCCTAGATTATTGGGACAAGTTTTAAAGGGTGTTATTATTATCACAAGGATTCAAATTTCCATAGCAACTCATGGTCAGAAACAATTTTATTTGTCACTAGGTGGCGCTGTTCCTAAGAGCATTTGAGAAAAAAGAGCTGTATTACAGCAGTCATTTGAGCTCTCATCACTCGCAGAGAATGGAACGTTTTACAATTACCGTGCTGGGAGATTTACGTATTGGCAGAAAGAAATGCACGAGAAGCAGAAATATTGTTTCGTGAATGTTACCCGCAGAGATGCACTGAACCCCTGGATGCTTACTAATTTGCTTCACAATTTGGGACGGTACTCTTTGAAAATGGTATGTGGGTAGTAGTTTGTTTTCACGTTGCACAACACGATGGACACTACTCCGAGATCCTCCTACAGATTGTACGATGGTAATCGGACTCCTTCGAACGGTATTCAACACATTTTGTACTATACTGGAAGTTTGAATCACTCGTGACCCACCCTTACTTTGAATACTATCTCGTAAGGATCCATATTCACACAAATTGTGATGCCAATTAGAAAACATCCGAAGGTCTAGTGCATCGCTGTAGGTACCTTTGCGAAACAATCTTTTTGCTGCCCGTAATTCAAGAGCATTCTGCTAGCTAAGTGTTCGGAAATCAGTTTCATACTCCTCTGAGGGTGAGGGAGGCTGCAATGTAGGTTTGTTTTTTTAAATGCTCTTGTGAACAACGCTACCTAACGACGAACGAAGACATTTCCGACCATAGATTGTAATGCAAATCTGAATTCTTGTGATGCCTTCTAATACCTCTTAAAAAATTTTCCAATAATTCTGAACATCCTGCAATGTTTGAATTGATTGCTTTGAATTTAAAAAGTAATACGATTGTTTTGAATTAAAAATTCAACCTTGAACCAAAAGTGCTAACACAGCATCTGTAGTAGATTCCTATGCATTTTCCCTTTACATAACTCTAGACTTTCTTTATGATGTTTGATTTAAGAACCTCGCCTTATGAAGAAACTTAGGTATTAGTGGAATATATCTGATGTGAGAGAAAAAGTGAATCAAAGAATATTCAATGAATTGCTGATAGTTGTAAAGGGATTTGATATAACAGTTTACTATCATCATTGAAGAGATTTCTTTTGTAAAGTACAAAAGAGAAATTGCAAGTGTCTTTCTTCCTTGAAAGCTAAGTAATATATTTCATTATATGATTAGGGTTAAATTGTAAGCATCGCTGCTCTCCAATACTTATGATAGAGATACTTTGAAATGAAACTCGATAAATTTGTTTTAACTCTTGCAATGTATATAAATAATTCTACGAATGTTACAATGAACTCAAATTCGCTACGCCTTGCGTGTGAGTTAGAGTAAGATTACATTCGTGGCAGCATAAGGCAAGTAGTCACAATGCTGAATTCGCAGCCGTTGTTATTTCTGAAGGATGATTAGAACTGTGCACCTCCCAACCAGAAAATGAGTATCTTAGCCACCATGCCAAAACGATCATCATAGCATTGAGGCTATTTCTGTTTTACATAGATACCACCGCCATACTACTCCTCTGACAGTGATTCGGCGAATAGGCGAACGAATGATACCATATTTGTGGCGAGTGTGTGAACAGTTGCTTCATTTTGAGTGCGTCGGCTTATGGGTTGCGTCATTTGTGTGACGACTTGTGGGTTGCGTTATCGTGTGTGACGGCTTTGTTGGTTGCATTTGTGGTGGATGAATAGCTCCACGACTGTTGCGGCTCTCTTTGCACGGCCAGGGTCACCAATGAAGGAAGATTAGAACTGGGGACCTTCCGACACGAAAACGAATAACTTAGCCACCATGTCAAAACGATCGTCATAGCATGGAGGCTATTACTGGTTTATATAAATACCACCACCACCACCACATTTCTAAAGAATCGTTGTTTCATGTCTTGCTACTGATGAACATTTAATATGCTAAGGCTTAAAATTCTTGTATTAAGGTTGAGGGAATGTTTGAAGAATTGGGTGGCAACTTAGGAGTCTTCTTAGGCATTTGACAGTAGTTCAAATTGCAAGAATGTTGTCAATAGACCTCGTATTTTTTTCAATGTTATGTTAATAGACAATCATTTTAACAATCGAACACTAGCTTATCCTTCTCATCTGGCCAGAGGTCTTATTATTGATTTAGTCTGTTACTAATTTCACGTGGTCTTGATTGAATGAAGCTTTAATGCACAAACCAATAAGCTGAGCTAATTGTAAATAAATTTTAAAATATTTTCTTCTTAAACTTCACATTTCTTTATTTCACAAACCTTATGAAATGAGATATGGAGAACATATTCATACTAAAAACTTAGAGACCAAAAACGAGACATATTTATTCTTTTTTCTTAAATTTTATATTTAGTCAGCTGCACAAACAATTATAAATTAAATATACTTGCACATCCAATCGAATCTAACATTATAATTAATTTACTCTTTGAGTAGTACATAGACTGCACTTTCTTGTATCCTCAGAAATCTCAAATTTCTGGAGACACTGACTTTGACGCTACGACGCACAGTTCATTCTTTTCCTTTTGACGCTGACTAAGGCAAACGTTCGTTCGTCTTTCTTTTGCTTTCTGAAGTTTGCATAACTATTTCTGTTGTTTATTTTTACGTTATCTTGCCAATATAACATTGTCATTGGATTTAACCAAAAGTGGTACAGAAGAAGAATATTTGCGGGGAAAAGATGAATACGACAGTGACTCTGATACGGATTTATCTATCTGTGATAAAGATGAAGAAATAGAACAAAAAGGTCAATACACTTCTGTAACGCATGTGGAAAAGATTTTTGATCCAAAGAACATATTGAGCAATTTTACAAAATTTTGTAAATTTTGATTTTAATTTTCCTACTTTTTCAAATTTTGGTAACCCCTACATAATTTTGGAACTGAACTTTTGTAATTTTATTCAATCCCAATAAAAGAAAATCTTTCTTATAAAGTTTCCTGTGCTAGTTACACTGGTTGTACATCTGAATAAGGCATGTATCCACTTGAGGTTACTCAGGGATATTGCCCTGTGGCCGCGGTAGCCGAGTGGTATAGGTATCGGACCGTGGCTTGCCTTGTCACGAGTTCGAGCCCAGTACCACTAAAGACCCGCCGTGTAGGGCAGCGATGCACGTTAAATCTGTCGAGATCTGAAATGTCCCCCTGTTGGTGTGGTGTGGTAGTTAAGAGAGGGGGTACCAGCTCAGGTGTCGTCCACGTCACTTGACCATGGTTCAAAATTACGTGGTCCATCGCCAAAAGCCCTCGTGTAGCTGAAAAGTGTGATGTTAATATTAAATCAAATCAAATCAGGGATATTGCCCTATACATAGCATGTATCCAATAGTGGTTACATGGTACGCAAGGAGTTAATTATAACTACAAAAATATTTGATTGAAAACATAAAATGAATCCACCAAAAGATATTTTATATTTTAATAGTTTGATTTTAATTCTGCAGGAGTTTTTAATTTACAAAAGGATTTAGATTAATTTTTTGTAAGTGAAATGTTTTTGTTTTTTTGATGTTATGATTTTTCTATTTTCTTTTCTTTCTTTTTTTTGTAATAGTGGTTCAAAAATGCTATGAACTTTGAGGAATAAAGTTTGTAAATACACACATTTTTTTTATGACATGATTTTTTCATTTTCTTTTTCTTTTTTTTTTTTTTGTAATTGTGGTTCAAAAATGCTGTGAACTTTGAGGGATGAAGTTTGTAAATGCACATATTTTTTTTTGTATTTTAAACATAATTAAATCAAAAACAGTAGTAGGAGATCTAGTTGTCCGATTTGTCTCGAATATTTTTTTTTTGCCGTTTTATCAAAACTAATAATTTCTTTTTCAGTTTTTCTTACATTACTTTTGAATCTGAATTATGCCTAATAGGACATTTGTTACGTTTTTCGAATGATAATAAATACATTTGAATGTGAAGTATTTTTGACAGTAAAAAAAGGAACAAAGGAAATAATGGAAGCACATTATATTCAAGTCCCTCATAAATTATTGGTATGTATTCTCATTTTCTCTTCTTTTTCTCGACAAATCACAAACATTCTCATAAAATTTATGAAAAATATTTCTAAAAATATATAAGAAAAGAGCATAAACTTCTAAATTAGTTTCGAACAGATTGTAAAACATATGCAAGACAGGATCGTAGATTATACTTTTCAAGATAAAAATTCTCTTTGTAAAGAAAATGACCCGAAATAATTTCATTCTAAAAAAGCAATAATTTATGCAGAAAAGAACATTTTGAGAAATAATGAGAAAGAGAAATAAGAATATCTTGAAGATAACGCATTATTTACTGTATTTATTTTGGAAAGGAAGATTTCGAATTTGAAATTTTCCCTTTGTCTGTTGTAGTAAATTGTTTATTTTGCAAAATCCATTTAACCAATTATCTGAGTAAATATTTGACAAGTAAAAAAATAAATAAATAAAATGGAATGCTATTCTAATATTGAGTTAAACGCTTCTGTCCATGTATTCTTTTACTTATTTGCTGCAATATTTTTGTATTACATAAATATCTTTGAGTTAGAAAGCAACATTAAGGTTATTTTAGTTATTCCCTGATACATTATATTTGATTCAATGCGAACATATTTTGTTAGAAAATACCATAAAACAACTTTATTTGTATAGTCTTATTCAATACCTACTATTAGTCCACTCTCTCTCTCTATATATATATATTGTTCAAAATTTCAATTGTTAATAAAATACTTTCTATTCATTAATTCAAGTTCAAATACATTTTTTAAACTTGTAGTGGATGAAACTTGATGTTAATACAGTTTTTTTTAAATATGAATTCATTAATTAAATTAAAAAATGAATAAATAGTAACAAGCAAAAATAATAGTCTAAAAGCATATATAGAAAGGAAAATCGTTCGTTGTGACTCTGGAGTGCAATGAATTGCACGTTGGGCTTCTAATCCAAAGATCGTGGGTTCGAATCCCACCTGGGAAAGCCTATTTTCAGAGAATTTGATTTCTTTTTTACTCTGCTATTTTATTAGAATAATTAAACTTAATGAATGAATAAATAGTAACAAACAAGCAATAATAGTCCAACACTAAGTATAAAAGGGAAAATGGAAAATTCCACAGAAAATCACTTTCTATTTAGTCACTTAATTTCGTGATTCTGTCATATTTATATACATATTTATATTAATTATAATTATTTAATAAAAAGTAACTAAAATAGACTGTTTCTTTGTTGGCCTAAGTAGGAATTGACTTAAATTTTTTTGTATTACTTGTGTGTGTGTGTGTGTGTGTGTGTGTGTGTGTGTGTGTGTGTGTGTGTGTGTGTGTGTGTGTGTGTGTGTGTGTGTGTGTGTGTGTGTGTGTGTGTGTGTGTGTGTGTGTGTGTGTGTGTGTGTGTGTGTGTGTGTGTGTGTGTGTGTGTGTGTGTGTGTGTGTGTGTGTGTGTGTGTGTGTGTGTGTGTGTGTGTGTGTGTGTGTGTGTGTGTGTGTGTGTGTGTGTGTGTGTGTGTGTGTGTGTGTGTGTGTGTGTGTGTGTGTGTGTGTGTGTGTGTGTGTGTGTGTGTGTGTGTGTGTGTGTGTGTGTGTGTGTGTGTGTGCGTGTGCGTGTGTGTGTGTGTGTGTGTGTGTGTGTGTGTGTGTGTGTGTGTGTGTGTGTGTGTGTGTGTGTGTGTGTGTGTGTGTGTGTGTGTGTGTGTGTGTGTGTGTGTGTGTGTGTGTGTGTGTGTGTGTGTGTGTGTGTGTGTGTGTGTGTGTGTGTGTGTGTGTGTGTGTGTGTGTGTGTGTGTGTGTGTGTGTGTGTGTGTGTGTGTGTGTGTGTGTGTGTGTGCTTTTACTTAAAGTTAGAATCCAGTATTATCGCAATATAGTACTGTGTTGAAATTTTAATGGATTATACGTAATTAATCATTTCTCACTCAGTTGTTAAATTAGCTTAGTTCTTTTCAAGTCTATTGTTTTTCCAACTACTATTATAATGTTTGTATTTCTAATTTAGTTGCAAATAGAAAATTTTACCCCCAAAAAAGGAAACTAAGTTTTCAAATCACAGGATAAGGAAAGAAATGCGATGTTCAACGATTTAAAAATAAGATAGAGAATAGGAATGAGATTAACTAAAAAACTCTCTTTTATTATTTTTTATATATGAATTAAGTTAAAAGGAAAAATATTAAAGTTACAGAGGCATTTAATTATCCGGTTCACAGATTAAGGTCTGAAGATTATCTATTTTTAGAAAATATCAGAGCTTTAAATGTTCTTGGGTAAATTGTATAAGTATTTTTTTTGTTTCAAAAAGAAACTAAATCTCCTATTAATCTAAACAAGAAGAATGTTTAATACAATGTAATTAACGTGATGCTTTCATGTCACATTTGAGCATATAATATAGTGGATATATTTTCCTTAAAATTAGAAAGAAAAAAAGTATAGAAAACTTTAAAAAGGTATTTTATACAAAACTAAAAAATAGATATGAAGCTTGTTTCAGTTCTTTATAAACATATATAAAACGTATTTCAAACAAATATAAGCAAACTTATATGAAATATGTTTACTTGTGTAGAAAGAAACAATAGAAATAGATTAGGGATTGTAGAAGGAAATGAAAATAATAAAATAGAATAAATCTTACTAAATAAAACAACAAAATTATGAGAAGAATCTTTAATATTCAAATTGCAATTACTATATATATATATATATTTTAATATAGCCATCATTTGTTTTCTTATTAACAAACATAAAGCACAATTTTTATTTAAAAAACTATTTATATATTATGGCTTATATAGCAGGCTGGATGGTGCAGTTGTTTTGGCGCTGGCCTTACACGTCCAAGTTTGTGGGTTCGACGGCGTCCATGTCATATGATAATGTATTCTACTACTTGTGACAACATTTTTTAAAAAATATGCAGATATGGTGATTTGCTTGTAGTTTTTAGATACATTTAACAGATATTCAGATAAATATGATGAAATTAAGACGAGTAAAATAAATTATTAAACCTAAAATAGGAAAAAAATTGGATAAAATTTACAAAAGATTACATACACAAAATGTGTATGCACAAGTTTTAAGCTTTTCAAACTTTGATGTACTGCTTTGCTAATCATTTTTGAAATGACCTTCAGGATAAGAGATATTTTACTTTTAACAAAAACTGCAGCTTGTTATCTGAGTTATTATATGAAATTGCTTAAAAAAACAGTGATTATATTCCAAAAAGGGACTGTGTAAATTTGTAATAAAACAGTGATTGATAAATCTGAAAAATAAAGAACTACTACTATTATACAGAACATTAAGACGCATTTTAAGGTATGACATTTTGCTTAAAGTAGCGGCATTTTCTTTTACTTAAATACTTGTAATTTTTGTTCTACTGACTGGAAGATAGTCAATTTGGTATTTTTATAAAGCTAATAAGATGCCTATAGGGTAAAAATAAAAACAATTATCAATATTTTGGCAAAATTCACAATTTTAGGGTAGTTGGATACCAGATGCCTAGAGTGCGTGTGTGGGTTGTATACTCTCGGTAAAATTAAATTTTAAGAACAGTTTTGCATTGTTAGAGCTCAGGGGCCTCCCTCTGGGGAGGACACTGGGTGCCAAAATTAGATTATGGCAATTCACCCCTATATCGTACCATTCCTAAAAAATTATACCAGCTCCCATGGAATGTGCTGGGTCTGCAATGGTAATTACCAATCCGTAGAATCATTAGAAAGAAATAAAATATTGTGACTTATATGTAGAGTAGTTTTGAAACATAAGGATTTTATTTATAGATTTGGTTACAGGAATTTTTTACTGATGAAGAATGTAATCTCTGAGAAATTAATATAAAAATAACAACATTTTTAAATGAACACTTTACGCGTGATTAAATATAAAACGTTTATTGTAGCTTAGTTTTTAATTAAGTAATTCTTTATATTCGTAGAATGAATAATGTAATTAGATCAAATGTTTTGCATAATTTAAGTTTCTTATGATTAAAATATTTTATCAAAGTATGTTCTACATATAGATCAGGGGTGGCTAGACTTTATGGATCAACGTGCCATTTTTTCTAAAGAAGTGTTTAATGAGGTATAAACGTGCCGTCAAATGATTTTGACTTGTGACTATTGGAAAAATAATAAAACTTATTATATAACTATTTACTACGAAAAAATACCTTTCACACTAAATAGATGTAATTGTTTTAGTTATACATGTAATTAAAATTAAAGTAACATTAGCGTGACTTATGTTGTTGCAGATTGGAGGACAACTTATATTAGGATTGTAACATGTTATTTTTGTAGAATGCATGCTGAATTTGAGTCCTTTGCTAAACGGTTTCTAAACAATTCTTTATTTTTGCTGTGGTTTATTCTTTTTTTTTTTTGACAAGGGGATTTGTGATTTGTTTCAAAATACCGTTTTACAGACGATGTTTTGCGTACCACTATTCAGGAACATGAAACACACACCACTTTGTCGCCTTTACTAATAATGCCATGTTTCTCAGTTCACCAAATTTGAAATTCTTTGTTACACTTACTATCTTGCACTTTTTGTTATTTTGCTGAACTAGCCATGTTAAATAACAGTGAAAAATCGTAAATATAACACAGATAAACTTTAAAATACAGTTGTGTCAATGAAATTGACTATGCAATGCGTAGACAAACTTAAGATCAAAAGTAATTGAAGTATACAACATACCTAAGGCAAGATAATAACAAAAGAGTGTATTCCGAGGTACAGATAAATTGAATCAATACTATATTTTAACATTTTTCGAAATAAATAGCATAAACTGAAAAAACTAGACTTGAATGCAAAAAGTTGTTCTCGTGTTGTTGTTTTTTTCAGTTATTTTCCTTTCACGTAAAAGATAAATCTCCTTTTCCAAGCAGACAAACTCAAAGAAAAGTTTACAAAAAAAGCAACTTGAACTTTTACAAAGTTTTCTCGAACAAAATTGAAAATCAACAAACGGAAAATCTTTTTTTTTTTTTTTTTTTTACTCTTTTACCTTAAAATGCGAATATAATAGATCTAGAAACAAACTTACTGAAAGAACGATCTTATTCATTTCACAGATCACTGCGATCAGTTGCATTTGACGCATTTTTTTCAATAAAACTATTTTAAAAAAGCCTAATCAATGGAATAGAAAGTAATGCAAAATACTTTTTTCTACGAAGTTTTTCAGACTTTCATGAAAAGATATTAGTAAACACACACACAGAAATAATTTGGAATTTTCAGTACGGTTCACAGTTTTTTTAAAAAAATGTATTTTGTATTTGGTGGGAGGAAATAATATTTACTAGTATTCATGTGTTTGATAATGTAAAAAATAATTAGATATGAATTTGGAATAAATTATTCAATTAGTAATGAATATTTAACGTATAAGTTTTATCTGCCAGCATAAGTAGATTTTTCCCCTTTATAACACCAAATGCTGTGAAAATAAGACATTTTAACATTTATAAGTTGACATAATATTATTCGAAGATAATTTAACTGAACATTCATCTGTATATACAAGATGTCCCGGAATCATTGGCGCAAACTTAAAGGGAAGGTAGGGAATATCGCAAGGATTCAAATTTGCTAAGCTACCCATGGTCGCTTCACGCATAGTTCACAAGAGTATTTAAAGAAACAGATCTGCATTACAGCAGTCATTTGAGCCGCCAACGCCCGAAGAGGAGAATGGAACATTTTACAAACACCGAGATGGCAAACATGCACCTACTTTTCAGACTAGCAGAAGAAAACGCATGAGCAGAAGTAAGATTGTGTCACGAAAGGTATTCACAGAGAGATGCACCAGACCACCTGATGTCTGCTAATTTACATCCCAATTAGTGGGAATATAGATCAGTATGAGGGTAATATGCATAGAGAGAGAGAGAGAGAGATTCGAGTATAACTTCCACAAGTAATTTGAATAAAACTTCGAATTAAATTT